TAGCAGGACACAAAGTCAGTGCACAAAAGTCAGTCGCATTTCTATACACTAACAATGAACAATCTGAAAAGGAAATTACAAAAGCAATTTCATCTACAATAGCATTAAAAAATAAAATACTTAGAAATTAACTTAATCAAGGAGTTGAAAGTCTTGTACTATGAAAACTACAAAGCATTGCTGAAAGAAATTACAGATGACATAACTAAATTAAAACACATTTATGTTCATAGATTGGAAAACTTAATATTGTTAAAATGTCAGTGTTACTCAAAGTGATCTAGAAATTCAATGTAATTATCCTATCAAAACCCAAATGTCATTTTTGCAGAACTAGAAAACCCCATCCTGAAATTCATATGGAACCTCAGAGGACCCGGAATAGTCAAAACAGTCTTGAAAAAGAACAAAACTGGGAGAGTCACACTTCATGACTTCAAAACTTACTGCAAAGCTACAGTAATCAAAACAGTGTGGTGCTGGCATAAAGACAGACACATAGGCCAGTGGAATAGAATAGAGAGCCCAGGAATAAGTCCTTGCATATATGATCAAACGATTTTTGACAAGGGTGCCAAGTCCATGGAGAAAGGACAGTCTTTTAAAAAATGGTGCTGGGAAAACTAGATAGCCACATGCAAAAGAATGAAGTTGGACTCTTACCTAAGACCATAAACAAAAATTAACACAAAATGGATCAAAAACCTAAGAGCTATAAAACTCTAAAACTCGTAGAAGAAAACATTGAGGGAAAGCTTTATGACTTTGGTTTTGGCGATGATTTCTTAGGGCACCAAAGGGGCCAGCCCAGGGAGCTTTCTCAGTCCCAGCCCCACCTCCAAGACACCCCATTGCCCAGGGATGCCTGCTGTAAACTGCACACCCAAGAGGGAAGGGGCCACAGAGCCAGAGATGCCAGATCCATTTAAAGTCAACACCTTTAAGGAGGCAAAGGATGAAGACTAAAACCACAAAAGAGATTTGAAGAAGGTGTGGGGTGAGACTGCCAAGATTCTGCACCTCAGCAAGCTCCCAGGTGTTGCCTGTTGACAGGTCTGTGGGCAGAACTTGGAACAACACTGAAAACAGCTGTTAAGCTGTGGAAACTACTCTAATCAAATGATTAGTGCCCCTTTGCATCTTCCAGGATCACAGGCCCCCTGTGATGTATACAACAGAAACATACATCCCAGAGCAGTGACATGCTGATCTTGTCCTTGCAGACAGCAGGAAGAAAGTTACTGGAACAGTTCACTTTTTCCAGAGAGAGAATGTGGTATTTCCAAGAAAAGAGTCAATGCTGAGGGCCTCCCTGGTGGCGCAGTGGTTGAGAATCTGCCTGCCAATGCAGGGGACACGGGTTCGAGCCCTGGTCTGGGAGGATCCCACGTGTCGCGGAGCAACTAGGCCCGTGAGCCACAACTACTGAGCCTGTGCGTCTGGAGCCTGTGCTCCGCAGCAAGAGAGGCCGCGACAGTGAGAGACCCGCTCACTGCGATGAAGAGTGGCCCCTGCTTGCCACAACTAGAGAAAGCCCTCCACAGAAACGAAGACCCAACACAGCCCAAAAATAATTAATTAATTAATTAATTTTAAAAACATCATAGAGATAGACAGTAGCATGGTAGTTGCCAGAGCTTGGAATGAGAGGAGATGGGGAGTTAATGTTTAATGGGTACAGAGTTTCAGTTTTATGAGATGAAAAGAGTTACGGCTATGGATTGTGCTGATGGTGACACAACATTATGAATGTATTTAATACTACTGAACTGCACACTTAAAAATGGTTAAGGTGGTAAATTTCCTGTGTATTTTTCCACAATTAAAAAAAAAATTGAGAAGGAGACTTGGCTTGGGCTAGGCTAAAATCTAAATATATGTAACCTGCTTAATCTAAATATATGTAACCTGCTTAATGCAGGGTCAAAAATTAAAGAGAAAAAATGGGGCTAGAAAAGTGAAAGGCATGCTTTAAATAACTAAATTCATTTAAAAAATAATTTATTCTTATTTAATGCCAAACTTGTTTCCTCTGCTTTGTTGTTGTGTGTGCATGTGTATATGGTAGATTTTCTGGTATTTATTATGTAATTTTGGTTCTTTGCTATTTGAAATGAAATAATAAGTGATTTTTGTTGAATAATGCCACTTTGGCAGTTTATAGTTTACTTACGTAGCAGTGTATTAGTTTTCTGTTGCAGCGTCGCATATTACCACAAACTTAGAGGCTTAAAACAATGCCCAGTTATCAGCTCACCGTTATGTAGACTAGAAGTTAGTTGAGCTCAGCTGAGTTCTGTTTAGGGTTTCTCAAGGCTGAAATCCAAGGGGTTGGCCAGGCTGGGCCCTTATCTGAAGACTCTGGGGAAGAATTTGTCTTTATGCTCCTTCCGACAGCAGTGGCACCTCAGTGTTTTGCAGCTAGAGGTCTGAGGTCCATGTTTCCTGGCTGACTGTCGGCCAAGGGCCACTCTGTGCCCCTAGAGGCTGCCTGTAGGCCTCTTCATCTGTCCCCTCTGTCTTCAAAGCCAGCTGTGCAGTGTCATGTCCTCCTCACCCTTTGAATCTGATCTGCCGCCCCACTCCCAACAGAAGAATGCTCTCAGCTTTTAAAGGGCTCACTTGATTGGGTCAGACCCAGCTGAATTATCTGTATGTTAAGATCAACTGATTTGGGACTTTAATTACATCTGCAGAATCCCTTCACAACATTCTTTAGATTGGAGTTCGATTAAATTACCAGAGGAGGGGCCTGTTAGGAGGCCATCTTTAGAATTCTCTCTCTCATAAGTAGTATCTCACACACAGCAAGATTTTTTATAGGTGTGTGATATAAAGTACACAGGACTAAGATTCTAAAGATCTTGGGTTCTGTTTGACTAGTAACTCTGATACTGGACTGTAAGGCTCTTGAGACCAACAATTGTGTCTTATTCATCTTTATAGGCCTAGTGCCTGGCGCAGAGTGGCTTACAGCAGGAGCTTAGAACATATTAAGTCACACTGAGATAATTTTACCTCTCTTTGATTGTGGCCTCTCCCGTTGCGGAGCACAGGCTCCGGACGCGCAGGCCCAGCGGCCATGGCTCACAGGCCCAGCCGCTCCGCGGCACGTGGGATCCTCCCGGACCGGGGTACGAACCCGCGTCCCCTGCATCGGCAGGCGGACTCCCAACCACGCGCCACCAGGGAAGCCCGATTTTTCTTTTCTTAATCTTCCTTCATCAAAGTTTTCTTATGAATTAAAACTGAGATGGTTAATGCATGTGTAAGTCATTGAAAATTCTAAAACTTTACTGTAGGGACAATATACAGCCCCCCCAACGCCCCCCCCCTTTTTTTAATCTACCCTTTCACTGAACCTTTTCAAGAACCTTGAGAATTAATACAAACAATATTAACTTTTATACTGGTAAAAGTAAACTGAAATAACTTGACCAGGGTCACCTATTCGTAAGAAGCAAAGCCAGAAATTTAAATCCAGTCCTACATGTGAATGCAGCTTTTACTTCTCAGTTAATCATCTGTCTTATTTTTAAAAAAACTTTTAAGAGAAAGTGCTGTGCCCTTGATACGTAGAATTATAAGGGATTAAAGCAGAGGACTGGAGTAAATCGTAAATTCTTTTCTGCTGCCTTAGAACTCATTTAGTCGTGCATTTTGCTCGTATTCATCTATTGATTTTTCTCGGATTTTTTTTTTCCTGTAAACCCTTACTCTATGTAACATCTTTTAATTCTGTTTTTAGTTGCGAGTAACAGAAATCCTCTTGAATAAATTTAAAGAAGTGAGTAGATAGAGAAGACAGAACCAACATGTAAAAGCTCTCTTAGGCAGTAATGCCAGGTGCATTTGTTCATGCATCTGTACCATTTTCTTCTCTGTAAGAAACAGAAGATCATTTTTCTTTTTTTTTTCTATTTTCATTTTGTTGTTGTTACTGCTGATTTTTAATGTTGGATAATCCAGGGTCAAAATTCCCAAGAATATAGTGCTTCTTATCTCAAGAACCTTGGCCTCAAAATGGGAGACAACACCCTGGTACTGTAGATTCTCATTTCTCTTGGTCTACAAGGAAGGTTTTTTCGGATGTTAGAATGAAATGGTGGCTTTTTTTCATATGTGAAGCATACTGATCTAGGTATTAAGGACTTTGTTTTATGTTTGATACCAAACTGGCTCCCTGGCATTGAGTATATAAATGATAGATACCTGGACCTTGTACTGTTTGGGGTTGGTGTTAAACAAGTAGATTAGAAGGAGGTGGAAGGAAAGAAAACCTATCTGGCTTTGGTTCACAGGGACTTCAGCTGCTTTCCCAAGCCAAAGCCTGGTATCACAGACTAGAGCTACTCACCCCAGTGGGTTCCCCATTTGCGTGATTGATGATGTGGTGGTCAAGCTGAACATACATATTAGAACCTTGCCCACTTTTCTTCATTTCTGCTTCATTGCCTTACCCTAGATTAGGCAAGTAGGATTCCGTGCTGGTAAACTGGGGGTGTACTATGGAGTACAGTGCTGAAAAGGCTCAGTAGAGAGGTGGTTGTACTCTGACTCAATGGGCATTTGAAGCATTCTCCTTAGTAAGTTTGGAACTTTGCTGAGCATAGCCACTTAAAATTCCTCAGGACATTTGTGGGGGTTTTTTTTTCCCCTAACCTTGGCTAAAGTGTAATATGTTATAGAATACCAAAGAAGTATATTTTATTTTGCTGCTGTCTAAGAATTTACCTTATAAATTCAATTTAGCTCAGTTAACACAGAAATTGTGGCTATTTGCTCACTTAAAGGACATGCCAACCCACAGAAGGATTTTAGAGAATCTTCTGCAAGTGTGCTTTTGGGAGGAATCAGTACTTCTTATTTGAAAACAACTTTGATTTCCTCGTTTTCCATTCTTTGTGCAGTTAGTTTCTCTGTGGTTTAGGATTATGAACTAAGAAGCAATCTTTCTGTTTCAGTATGAAATTTAATACAAATCTTTCTTGTGTATTCAGCGGCCACTGCAGTCATTTGGACAGACAGGAAAAAGGTCTAAGGTATAGTAAATATTTTGTGCTGGCATGCCAAGGGCCTTCATGCTTGATGAATCTTTGTTTTCATAGAGCACTGCATTCAGTTTAGTTTTGTCATATTTTCTTTGGGGCAGAAAGCTTATTTTGTTTTATTTGGGGTTTTTGTCTTGCCTAGTCGCTTTTGTGCACTGCTTTTATATCTTTAATGGTTCTTCATCTGTAGAGAAAATGGCTTTCTCATCATTCTTTGGGTTTTGAGATTGGAGTTATTCCCATTCTTGCTATTGCTATTATTTTCAAAACTGCAGTTATTGTTTTCCCTCATAACAAAAGGTTTTAATGGTATTTAATGATATATTTAACTTGCACATTTCACCTACGTCTGTACATGGCAGAAACTATTATAAAGAAACTTAAGAAACCCTAGGGGGCTTTTGGATATGCCCTAGATTTATGGAATGTAGTGTTAATTTTAAATACTTTTCTTTAGTCAAGCTCAAAGTTAAAGCTAGTTCGGAGCCTTGCAGTGTGTGAAGAATCTCCACCACCCCCTACAGCAGAGATATCACAGGAGAACCAGGTAAAAAAACCAAAAGCAATAAGCAAAAAAAAAAAAAGAAAAAATTTAATTATTTAAAGATATGGAAAAACCTGCTTCCTGGAGAAAACTTTTTCATAATGTTAAATAAAATTTGGATGTGCATGTACGTGTGTTATATATGTTTTTACTAAGTGAAACTACCAAGTCCAAGGCTTAGTGCAATGATTTCTCGCTGGAAAAACTTAGAGATCATATAATTAACTGAGAATATGGCTTTAAGGGAATTATAAGTTGTTATGGAAAAGTTATATTAAAGTAGTACTTCCAGTTAATGTGATTGTGATGAAATTTGCCCTTGAATTTGCCCAAATTTGATTTTGGCTTTTAGAAATTTGTCGAACACCTCTTGAGTGTGAAGAGGAGACTACCTAAGACTTCTGCTTACATATCATTTTACTTAACCTGAATGCGTGGTGAAGTCAGTTTTCATATTAGCGTGGCTCTAATAGTTGTCTAATATTTTTAATCCCTCTACTGTCTATGTTTGCAAAGTATAGAACTACCAAGGCTCAAGCAAATAGTTTGGTTTTTTGCTTTTTATATTCTTTTTAATGCTATGACTTTACTTTTCTGTTAATCTCAGTTATGGATTGATCTTTGTCTTATGCTACATTTGGACATTTACATATAATTAATTTTGGACCCTCTACCAGTGTTTATCAATGTGATAACTTTGGCTGTTTGTGGCTTGTTCTACTTTTTAAGAGTTTGAATAACCTAAAATCCCTCTGTATTCCAACAATTAGTTTCCAAAGAATTGAGGCAATATTGTGGTTAAGACACATGACTGAATAAAGGAAAAGAGAAAAAAAAGCCATGACAGGTTGTATGTCTTTTTTTTTTTTTAATGCTAATTGTACGTTTGTTAATTCAAGCAAAGACTGTTATGCTTTGCCTTGATTTAGAAGATGATGACGTCAAAAGCCTACTATAGATACTGAAGATAGTTGTCACATATTTAGACTGTGTTCTGTTTTTAAAAGCACTACAACTCTGTCTCTGAATTATAAGAAAAGGACTTTTTTTGATAGATTATTTATTGTCAATGCACTTAATATCAGTTTCCTTTGAAATTTGTTCAAGTGTCAAGCAACATAGGGTTCAAATTTTCCTTTTGATTTTTAAAAGTTCTTTTGTACATTCAGAGTAAAGAATGCACCTGTTCAGGGTGGAGCAGTTGGCAATGTAATGTTTTTTGAAAATTAATTTCTTCGTTTTGTTGACCAAAATGTTACACCATCTTAGCCTCTTGGAATGATTAGTCCAAGGAGATAGAGGAAATGAGAAGGGTCAGGCATTCATAAGACTGTTAGTCCAGAAAAGGTGCCTTTTTTGAGAAAAACTGTAACAAACATGATCTTTGGTTTTATTTGGTACATTTCACCTATCTGAAAAATTATTGTGGGAGGCAGAAGGGGGGAGAGGATTCTTATAGTACTGCATAAATTTGTCTAGTGAAAATTTATGAGAAAAAATTAATATAAGGAGTATATGTTATATATTAATGTATATATTGTTCAAAACAGCTGAGTTACAGCATTTGGATAATGAATAAGGTGGTTATGCCAGAGTTCAGTTATTCTACATAATATAGTCTTTCTCAATTTCTCTTGGATACAGTTAACTTTTTCTTTTGGGATAATAACCTATTATTACCCTCTCTGAACAAAAGATATTCTTTTTAATAGAAAGTCTTTTTCCCAGTCTTGAGTTAACTAAATTGCATCTGACTGGGAATTGGAAAATAAGTTATTTCTTGTAAAATGTACTAGTATCAAATCCTTGACGGCAGAGATACTTTCCAACTAATAATGCTTGCTTCAGAATGTGATTTTCGAGGAATTAATCTGGAATAAAATTCATTGTTCAAAAGGTTGAGAGGCAATTAAAAGAGAGATGTCATTTGTGTCTGATGAGAGCTAATGAGAGGGAAGTGACCTCAATAAATGATGTCAGTTACAAAGTGAAGAGTAAAGGAATTACAGCTACCTATGGAGATATTGCTCTCATTTGAGTTATTTATAGTCAGGAGAGTTCGTGTATAAGGACTTAGGCATTTAAAATATGTCTTGTTTATTTGCTACTGAAAACAAGGGCTCAGTACCAACTGAAGACAAGCCTCAGTACATTATGCATACTGGATTTTTAAATACAGTTCATCTTGATAAATAGTTTAATATCTGTAATTAAAATATGTGACCTTAGAAAGAGAATTTGGAAATGAAATCTGATAGTCATTATAAGTGCCTTTTAGTGAAGTTGTAAATGTGAAATCTTTTCTTCCTACCTGGATTTTATAGATTATCCTTGAGTAACAGCAATAGAGAAGCTGTAAGTCAGGAGAACTTATAAATATTCTACTTCTGAAGCATAGTTCTGGGATTCATTTTTAAATATCTATTTTACAGTTAAAAAAGAATGAGGAAAGTGGATTACAAAATGAGTCATAATGAGAAAAATGACTGGTTGATGAACGTATGACATTGATTAACGTATGAGGTTTGGTAAACAATACAAAGGAGGACTTAAAGCAGGTGTTCATCATTTTAGTGGAAATTGCCAGTGCATAGCTTTTGTCCTATATCCTGAGCACAACTTTGAACTGGGATGGAATGGGAAGCAGAGTTGAGAAAAGATGAAAATAGCAGTCAGCAACCCCATAGGAAAAAATATGTATGTATTTGACCTGAAATTCTTCTGCCAAATACTATTTTGAAAAAACTTATGTGGGGAGAAAATGGGTAATAGAAATCCTGGTGGCTGCAAGTTTAAGAATCCTGAAATTTATATCTTCTTCAATATTGACTTATCGCACCTACCGTCACCACCAACCCTCACCTAGAAAAGCGAAGTAATTGATTAATATTTTTCATCTCTAAAGAACAACTGTATACAGTAATTTAGCCTGCATATAGGCTGTACCTTTATCTTTAGTAGAAATGGTCTGGAAGTTAGTCTGCCTTTCTTTATAAGTTTGCCTGAATAAACAGAGCTATGTGATTTTTATATATTTGACCTATATGAATTAATTTCCAGTAATTCCTTTGGGTTCTGAAATTGCATGTAATGACATTGTTTCAAAAATAAAATGTAGAAATAGTTCTCCTTTTCAGTCTTAGAGAATATGGTTACTTTACAAGTAAATATTACATATCACTAAGGAAAACAATTTTGTTTGAAATCTTTCTAAAACAACTTTGTGGTGATTGAAGGAGGAACAGTGATAGTAGGCTCAAATAGGAAATAACCAAAGTGGGGGATTTTGTTTTGGAAAGTTTTTATTTACAGTTTTATATGGCAAGAAAATGAAGAAATATGAATTTATAATGGACAAAGTATTTTTTGATAAGTGTTGACCTGACTCTCATATATTCCTATTGTCATGATTGATGATAATTGTCATACTTTTGCTTGACCGTGGAATCTCCATTGCAAAAAAAAAATGTTAAAAAGACCTTTGTTCTGTCCTCCAAGGGTTTTACAAGTAGATTCATTTAAACTATTCTTAAAAAAACATTTATTTTCTCTAAGATAATTTTCAGGATACATTTCAATTGACAAATTCAACTCAAAGCCTTAATTTTAACATTTTTTTATCAAGAGTTGATTAAAACGGTAAAAATATTTTAAGTTGTATTCTAGTTTGAAGAATCTAATTGGATAAAAGAAAAATCTTTTTCTCCGTACAATTTTGTATTACTCAAAAAAATACAAATGTGAGGCATTAACTGAATCACTTTATATTTTAACTTAATAACTGATTTTACCTTCCAACAGGAGAAAATTCAGATCCAGTTAACACAATCATTTGAAAAAGAGGAGAAGCCCTCAAAAGATGAAGCAGAAAAAGAAAAAGCCAGTGATAAGTTGCCCAGAAAAATGTTATCAAGAGGTTTGCAATTTATTTCTGTGTTTTTTAAACAAAATTTTAGTTTTACTGTCTATAATTCCATCCTTTACCCCTTGAATAATTTTACATAGTGTATTTCTATTAAAAATGATCTCGAACAGACCGAAGGGATGATACTGTTCTTGGCAAAATGGCATAAGGCAGTTCTGCTGAACATCAGTAAGATGCTTGAGCCAAAAAAGTGCAACACATGCAAAAGTCACCAAGGAAGATAACTGTCATGATCACTTATTAGTCAGTCTCTTGTATTGAAATGATGGAATCACTATAATTTGAATACTGATTCCACTAAAAATATTATTTTTAAAAATTCCTTATGATACAGAGAGCTGATGCCAAAATGTTCAGTATCCAGTAAGAATATTCTTGGAAACCTAGAATGTTTGTCTTTTATAATAAATTTGAAGGGACTTCATCATATAACATTACAAGTCTATAAAAATGCTTTTTTAATTTATAGACCCAGTTATGTTGACCAGTATTATAAACAGCATAAGGATATTACATTTAAGGGGAAGAAATAAACATGAATGTTTGTAAAGAAACATTTTGAAAGCGAGCTTTTTGTGATAGACCCGATCAAATCTAATTAAATATTCTTTCAGAGCTACAGTTCCTGCCTATCTCCAAATTATTGCCTGCACTTATATTTGTAACTGAACTAAGCAGACTCAATTTGCTTCAAATGTAGTTAATTGTCTGAATCATTCCGATTTTTTGCTTGAGACATTTTTGAATATGAGGATTGTGGTGAGTATATAAAAGGATCTTTAAGAATTCAGAACAAATTAAACTGGCACATTTGAGAGATAAATTTTTTTAAGAATGTACAAAGACATACAGTTACGTAAATCCATGTCATGCTCATTATATGGGAGTAGCAAAATTGTGGTCATCTGAATTCATCATAACTTCCATTTTCCTACTTTGTCAGTTATTTTTCAATGTGGGGCATCTCATTTTATTTTAATATACATCATGTGTAAAGGGAAAGGGATTTGTTTCAAACAACTTTATACTGGGTTTTTGTGTTGTTGTTTTTTAGATTCCAGTCAAGAATACACTGATTCAACTGGCATAGATCTACATGAATTTTTAGTAAATACATTAAAAAACAATCCCAGGTAAAAATTAAATTTATAAGGTTTACATTGCTTCTAGAGTACCATAATTTTGTTATATATGTTTTCATTACTGAGTTAGAATAAGATTAAAATATTTAAAGTACACCAGAAACATTTTAGTTTCTTAGGGCTAAGATGTTGTTGGCCTCTATATGCACATGTATAAATATCTTTTTGCATTATGTATATCACCATGATATAAAGATAATTCATACTCTTTAGGAATTTGGGGAAATACAGAATCACCAAGCTATTTTGACTCTTAATTGAGATGAAGAGTTATCATTCATCATGAAATAGGAGAGAGAGAAATATACCTCATGATAAAGCACTCAACCAGATAACTTAGTGTATTTCACTTATAACAAGTTTTTGGACTTAATTGAATGCAGAATTTTTGTTTCTTCTTGCTTAGTTTATAAACCTCCAACCCAAAGATTTTTAAGGTGCTTATTTCAGTCACAACTTTAACTAATTGTGAAGTCCTTTGTTTTGCCAAGGTACTAGATAAATAGATTTAGCTTTTTGGTAGGTCATCGACCCCAGTGAGGCAGTCTCCCCACAGAGAGGTTTATCCACAAAATATCTGACCAACATGTTCAAGGAGTAGAAGACTTGAAGGTTAAGAACCCCTCCTCCAGATGTTAGCTTCCCAGAGTGGTAGTAAAAATTTGTGAAATCTTCAGTTCATTGGGTAGGTGCACATGAAAGAAAACAAACTCTCTTTAGTATCACTGAGCCTTATCTCATGTCTTGTTTCAAGATACACCTTTAATTTCATTCAGGATTTATTGTTTCAGTACCATCTTGATTTCCTATTTTACATTTAACATAAACCCCAAAAGGGGGCCCACCAAAATGAAGAGTGGTCTCCTTGTAGTATGGGCTGAAGATGTATAAGTGTGAGGTGAGGAAGAAGTCAGTCAGCTCCGCAAACTTATTCCTCAGTGGTCCCAACTGAAAGATGAATTCATTAGTCCATTGAACAGGCATTTCTTGGGTATATATCATGTGCTAAGCATTGTGCTAAACATTGTAGATATAAAGATGAACAAAATATAATCTCTGACCCTAAAATATTCACTGTCTGTGTGCTAGAAAAAAAAAAACCCACAATATGTAATTAAAATAGAATAGATGTTGTAAAAGAAGTTTTTCAGGGTGCTTTAAAAGCACAGGGAGGGGATCCCAACCTTTGAAAGGATATGGGAAGGCTTCACTGAAAAGATAATGCCTGAGCTGAGTCTTGAATCCAGAGTGCTTTCAACTGGAACATGAGCAGCACAAGGGAGACAAGAGCATCGCCAGGGCATGGTCATACGAGAGAGAGGTGGCATATCCAAGCAAAGACGGGATTGTACACTCTGGCTCTAGCAGGGGGGCATGTGGCAAGTGATTCTAGAAAATGAGGCGGAGGGCATTGTTGAGGAATGAAGGCAGACTATGCAGTTGTCCTCAACCTAGGATAGTACCAGCACACTGGGATGGTGAATGAGTAAGGAGTGCTACTGGTAAGCTAGGAATGCAATGATTGACGAAAAATAGCCTTACTTGAGATGCCAGTAGTTCATCGTTTGAGAAATACTGAGTATGGCATGCTACGTTGAGGAGTCATGACAGAATTTTCAAAAGGGTGATGCTATAATGAGATTTATGTTTTAAAAATACTACTTTGTCAGTGAGGGGCCAAGATCATAAGCAAGGACTGTGGGTTGATGAACATAGAGAAGAATAGAGAGGAAAGGACACATTCGAAAGACATCTAAGAAGTACCGTGGCAGGACTTGGTAATTATTTGGATATGGAAGAGTAGTGGCACGTTGGAGCAGAACAGAACAGCTGCTAGATTTCTGGCTGAACTGACAGCTAGTCCCATTAACAGGGGAAGTAAACAAGGGCAAGCCTGAATGGAGTAAGGCATGTTCTGTTATAAATAAGTATAGTTTGAGGTGCCTGATGGAAAGCCACAGTGAGATGAAGTGTGTCAGCAGTTAAAAGCCTCTGGTTTTCAGGTAAATGAGCCTGGCTGCTGTTACTGGCAGCCATCAGTCTTCAGTAGAGGTGACTCTTGCTTTGTATGAGTTTGCCCAGGGAGATGTAATAAATGACAAGGACGAAATTCTGTGGAAAGACAACGTGTTATGGGTAGATATGAAGGAAGAGACCATGGGTGTTAAAGGTTGCAAAAGAATCATGAGAACGCTTGTCTTAGAAGTCATCCAATCGGCAACAGTATCATGAAAGGTAAAATGAAACAATCCATTAGATTGAGGAACTAGGAAGTTGTTGGCTATTTTAACAAACCATTTCATTTGCGGTAGGATGGTGGAAACTAGAACTCAATAGATTAAGGAATAGGGGTATGGTAGAAAATACATAGCTAGTTTGTGTAAAACAAGATGGCATCTTAAACAGGCAGAATTTTTCTTTCTTCTGAACCTGTAGGAGAGACATCAATAAGGACAAATGCAGAAATCTATATTTATACATTCCAAAATATTTTTCTTTTGTGCAATTCTCTTGTTTTCCTCTACAAATGAAAAAGTTTTAAAGTTATCTGCATATGTGTTTTTAAAGTGTACAATTTAATGGTTTTTAGTATATTCACAGATACGTGCAACCATCACTACAGTCAATTTTAGAACTTTTTCATCACCCCAGAAAGAAACCCTGAACGCTTTTGCTATCACCTCTCTATGCCCTGAACCCTAATCTAGTTTGTCTCTACAGATTTCCTTGTTTTGGATATCTCATGTGAATGAAATCATATGTATGTGGTCTTTTGTGATTGGCTTCATTCACTTAGCATAATATTTTCAAGGTTCATCCATGTTGTGTAGCATGTATTACAACTTTAGTCCTTCTGTGTATGCATTTTTATTTGAATAAATATATAGGTGAATCATTCATGTAATGGCTAATGAATAAGTTATTACTAATGTCAGTGTGGATTAGAAAGTTGTAGCTAATGTTAAATTTTGTGAGAAACAAAATTTGCCTAAGTGATGGCTCAGTGTTCTCTCAATGAAACACACAATTAATTGCCAGATATACGTGGCACAAAATTAGTAATAAGTCTGGCAAATTTCCATTAGAGCTTTCAAGATTGAATGTTGCTCAGAGATTTCTAAATGTTAAACAGATTTACTTTTAGGGATACTAAAATTTAGCTAACATTTTATTTCAAATATTTTCTTCAGATCATTAATCTTTTATCTTGTTCTCATCCCAATGTATAAACTTAACCTCAGGTGTTAAATAACAGCTTATCTGGAATTCCTGTTTCAAGAAATATTATCGGAAACTGTAATAACTACTCATTACTAGATTAGAACCCGGGAACCTGAAGTTGTCCAAGATAGAGATTACACTCACTCATATGGTTTTTATACCTGTTTTTGTATTGATTTTATACCCATTTTGTGTAAATTCCACAGTGTACTAAAGAAACACGGACAATATAGGCAACTATATTATGTCGCTAATGGAGGGGAGCAGCCCCATAGGTAAATCCTGAGAATGGATATTGTAAAAGTAAACTGTATTGTTCTGGGGAATATCATATAATTGTTCTGTGTTTGAAATATTTTCTAAAATTACTTTTACTGGAGGTAATGTTTAAATCATCTTATTTCTTGCCTGTTGCAGATATTTGACCCAGGTCATGTGGAACATTGGGAAGGGGGTGGTCAGATGGAAGGATTGTTGTTTTCTTCTTTTTTATTTGCCACTTGTATACCAGCTGCAAACGCTTTCTCTAAAGTCAGTTCTGGTATAATGACTAGAACACTGGTAACTAAAAGATTCCTGCCACTTCATTTTCACTTTAGGTAGTAGTTTATTGGTCAATTTGATTGAGATCTTTGTTTTTATTATTTCTTTAATAAATAGATAGCATTTATTGGTCTATTTTTAAAGGTTATATGATAAGTTCAATGCGTGCCTACTTTTAGGTTCATGTGCTAATAAACCTTATGCCTTAAGAAAAGGAATTTGTGGATCTGTTACTTTGATGTATATAATGCTTCTATAAAGGATTATTAATTTTTAACTTATGGCCATTACCAAAATATCTAACCTTGATTACAGATTTGAAAATTTGGAAACTTGGGCCAAGCTATAGATATATCATATACATATACATACATAGTATCATATACATACATACATGTATCATATACATACATAGCTATATGGTACAGGCAGGAAGTGTAAATCTTGAGAACTTAGGAAAGGTATTTTCCTAACAAGTTCTACTTTTTACTAACTGAAAATTTTGTAAACTAAGCACGGGAACTTATTTAAATAAATGGCCCAGGCAATAATAGAAAATCCTCTGCAATCCATAGATCTACATGCGAAAGGAAAAAAAAATAAAAACCTGAATTTTTATCAATAGCTAGTAAAATCGTTAGATTTTGTTTACTTTCATGGAGACAACAGAAATTTGTTTTCAATGCCAGTTCATTCACTGAAGAACATTTCACATATCTTAGGCCTGCTGTTGAGCTCAAACAGAGGAAATGAATTTAAATGCACTGTTTCATGAATGCTGAATAAGTTACCTGCCTCAGATTCCTTTTTTTCCCCCTGCAACAAGTATATAAAATACATTAGGAAAGTTACTGAAAATTATATCATCTCAAGACAAATTGACCCCAAAAAAATTAGAGGAAAAGAGGGTCTTATAGTTAAGTAAGTAAGTCCTTTTTTGGCGAAAACCTTATGAAGTAAAAATTTCCCATCCTCCCCCAAAATTTTAAGGAAAAAAATATTAAAAGACATGGATGAAATAATCTGACTAATTTATCCCACACAGATACATTTGTTGAGCTCCTCTCTATAGTCCAAATAACTATATAATGGTAATTGTGATAAACGCTATTAAAGGTATGAAAGAAACAGGTTCTAAGAAAGAATATAAGAAGCTGTCCTAGGCAAAGGAAACAGCTTGTTCAAGGAACCAGCTTGGCAATTACAGGGATAAGCTAAAATGATAAGAGTTTTGTGAGTAAGGGGCAGGAAAAGAAGCTAAAGAGGTAGATGAAGACCAGATCATGCCCACCTTGTAGGCCACATTACAGGTGTTCAGTTATAACCTATGAGCAGTGAGAAACCTGTGATAAATATTTAACCAAGGCCATGACTTGTGCTCACATGTGTTTCTAAAAGATTGTTATGGATGCTCCAGGTAGAACAGATTAGAAGGGAACAAGGGAGGATACAGAGAGATAATACACTACTATTACAGTAGTCAAGTCAGAGATCCTGATTGCTTGGATCCAAGGTAGTGGCAGTAGAAATAGAAGAAAAATAGATTGAAGATAGGTAAATTTTGCAATAGTAGTTAACTGCACAGGAGGATTTTTAAAAGCACAGTAATGGGCCAAAAATGCTTCTAGTACAATATGCCAAGTGAAAGGTAGTGCCACTTGCTGATAATACAGAATACTAAAGGAGAAACAGGTTTAGGGGCAAAATTGAACGTTGCTAGAATTTGAGTTAAAATGTAATCGTGTTTTCAGCTTTGGGTTTGAAATCACCACATAGGCATGTTATTCTCTTGATATTTTTCAACTGATATAAAAATATGTATGGTTAATATTACTCAGTTTTTTATAAGACTTCTTCCACAATATAGAGAGAAGATCAAACTCAGAGCTGATGTATAGACTTTTGGGCAACTTAAGCAGGGGCACTGTTTCCTTTTAAAATTTGAGAGGGATCTACTACATAGTATTTATTTGGGAGGGAAACATTAACCTCTTGGCCTAGTTTTCTTGATATATAAGATTTTAGGAACAGAACTGAATGATCTGTAAAGCTACTTCTAGTTTTAAGGTTCTTTGAGGGTTTTTTTTGTTTGTTTCTGTTTTGTTTTGTTTTGTTTTGTTTTTCCCACATGCGCATGACATTTACAGTGAGCACAGGAATACTCTCTTGAGCCATGTTCTTGGTGTGTGGGCAAGGAGGTCCTTTGAAAGGGAGTGGTACCAGTAACTTATTTTGTAAGTGTGCTAAATAGGACCCTAGTGGTCTAAAGGAGCACATGCAGCTGTTCCCTAGCGTCCCTATTTATTTTACACGTTGGAGGTCTTTGGTTCATTTTGATTTTTTGTGGGAAAAATTCCCAAAGTCTTAGAAATATATAATAGTGATTTTCAGAATGATTTGAAAAGTCCTCTCCTTCTGAATTAGAGTTAGTAATATAGTTCATACTTCTCTGCTATATTTCCATTTATAGACTAGCATTGGATTCACATAGGAGTATTCCTGTTGTTACTAGCATTGCATGTTCTTTAGAGTACTGTTTCTGTGGAGTTCAGGATGATAACAAAGTCATGAGCCTGACTAAAGATGTCTGTTTTCCTGCTATCTCTTAGCTTTATTGAGTAGGGAAGTAAGGACAAATATGCTGTTATAATCCATACATTTGCAGAACAGAATCTAATATAGTAATATTTAACAGATCAAGATATATCTGTTTTAAGAATGGCCACATGATGATAATTGTTGAAATTGGATGATAGTCTCTCTACAATTGTGTATGTGTGAAATTTTCCATAAAATTTTAAAGTCATCTTTCTTGTAAAATATTACTTTTCTTTAGAAAGCATGTAAACATTCTAGCATCAAGCTTGTGATGTTCTTCAATATACAGGTTTTACCCGCCCCCCCAAAAAAATAGCCCTGTAAATTCAACATTTATGATATGATTAGGTCAGTGTTAAATTTTACATATAAGAGTTTTCATATTTTGTTTCAGGGACAGAATGATGCTGTTGAAATTGGAACAAGAAATTTTAGATTTCATTGGTAATAATGAGTAAGTCCTAACCTTTAACAAGAAAATAAATTGTCATCACAGTTCTTCAAGATTTACTAAATTAGTTTTTCTTCTACTTTTAGGTCTCCACGTAAAAAATTCCCCCCAATGACATCTTACCATAGGATGCTATTACACAGAGTCGCTGCTTACTTTGGATTAGACCACAATGTTGATCAGAGTGGGAAGTCTGTCATAGTAAACAAAACTAGCAATACAAGAATGTAAGTATCAAGAAATGTAGTTATATATTATCTACGCGTGTGATACTACTTTATCTTCCTATAGCACCTTTTATCTCAGGTTTTCCGCATGTTTTAGCAGCCTAATTCAGGTGTGACAGGACCAAAAAGTAGATTTAACTCACAAGGTGTAAAATGCACCAGTCTGGACTGAAATAAGACAGGTGAATGAGGATGGGTTTAAAAAAAAACCCTCAAAGGTCATCATATCAGTAATGTTTAATAATCATTCTCATGGATTTTTAAATTAATATAATTTAGATACCTGTGGCCAACCTCAGGCAAATTTAAAAGAAAAAAAAGAGAGAGAGCAAACTTTAACACCCTTACATTTAATTAATTTTCTTTCAGTTTACTGCCTTTTCCACCTTTGTTGTTGCTCCTTTTCTTCCACAAATCTCAGGACGGTGAGACTTACTGTTAATCCAGTATCATCCATAATGTTTTGTACCCTTCTGGGCTATGTGTAATTGACTGAGGAAGAAATTTTAAGCAGTTAAGAGGAATCGTTTGCTTTAAAAAGTGATACCTGTACAGTATGGTGAAATAGATAATCAGTGCTGATATTTGGGAGCAAAAGGCCCAATGCAGAGGCCTATTTGTGAAGCTAATGCCGTTGAGTTCAGCTAACATTATACTTCCCGGTGGTTTCCTATCAAAAGAATTTTCTATATTAATTTCACATGTGGCATCAGTGGATCTGTGATAATGAGCAGCAGACAGCTTCAGATGCCATAAATAATGCTTTTCAGTTCATTGTTTTTCTTCCTTCCTTGAAGCTAGACTTCTCAGGGTTCTGTCTATTATGAACCCTTCAGTTTGCACAGTTTATAAATAAATGAATAAATAAATTCATTACTTTCCTTTTTGTTATAATGGCCTTTACCCTTGTAGCTGTCATATTGTTTGCTTGGCTAAGTTGGTTTTCTTCCATTTCAAATAGTATTTTGTCCACTAAATAGATATATTGGTGGAAGCTATTTTTAAATGATTTTTAAATGATTGTTACTACAACTAAAATTAAACTAATGACGACAGATGTCTTTGAAAAGGAGCCCATATTTTCGGGGGCATTAAATTTTACCTGCAAATGGTAATCTGACTTAATTTTCCTATGCCTGTCTTTCAGTCTTTTGAAAATATCCTCATCTTTTAGCTTTTTCCTAGTTAATTATATCACGGCTAAAGTAGGGTAGTAACCGTAACATACGAGCTGGACTTCAGGGGAACAGAACTCTACTTCATTTAACCAGTACCTTTCAACATTACTCAGAGCTGCTGGATGCCCACGCATGTGTACATTAGCAGGCATTTTGACTAACATTTCGACTGGTGACTCTCTAAGGTTTTCAATACAGTGTAACCTCAGTTATTTGAATGCTGCAAGTGATGTCAAGGTTCTCTTTATCCAGATAATAAAAAGTTTAGCTAAACGCAGATGTTTATGATGTACTTAAAGAAGAATGGATCAGTAGTGTAATTAATTACATTTCAGATCATTGAAGTTACACTGTATATTCTTATTTTATTTCTTCTGGAATATGAAGAAGGATGTAAATCAGAAAACCTTAGAGATCTGCTCCACAATGAATAAAAACAAACTTGCCTTTTCCTCATAGGCAGATTACCCGCTCCAGCCTTGAACCAGTGGTGTTGTGGATGTCAACAACCCGGTGTCCACTGGGGTGTCTCATTGGAGCGGGAAGTTGGCGATTGCAGGGCAGTAAATTCAGGCATCTATAAAAGACAGAGGTAAGACAGTCTTAAGGTTAGCTGAAATGCCTGCTAATGCTGTTTGGTGTGGGGATCCAGCTGCTCTTAGAAAAGTTGCCAGGCTCTTGGTTAAATCTTATAGTTCATATTGGTATAACCATCTCTTTTTTCACCCAAGTACAAATTCCTTCAATAAGAAAATGTGATTTTGAACAGCTACAGAAATAGTTGATATAAGTAAATAGGCAATCATGGACAAATAAATAACATACTGCCATTGTCAGAACTAAATAGATAATCCTTCAAATTCCTAAAGAAAGCAATCTTTTTCTTATCAGTTTGGTCATGAAATCTTTTTACTCTTTTTATTTTTCTCTTTAGTTCTCTGTATCGCTTTATGTGGAGATGCGCTGTTTCACTTATCTAAGTATATTTTAAAATAGAGATTTCTTCAGCTTACTTACATAATTCTCATTTTAAAATCTTTTGCATTGGGCTTCCCTGGTGACGCGGTGGTCAAGAATCCACCTGCCAGTGCAGGGGACATGGGTTCGAGCCCTGGTCCGGGAAGATCCCACATGCCGCGGAGCAACTAAGTCCGTGCGCCACAACTAGTGAGCCTGCGCTCTAGAGCCCGCGAGCCACAACTACTGAAGCCCGTTCGCCTAGAGCCCGTGCTCCGCAACAAGAGAAGCCACCGCACCACAGCTAAGAGTAGGCCCCGTTCGCCACAACTAGAGAAAGCCCGCACGCAGCAACAAAGACCCAATGCAGCCAAAAATAAATAAACAAAATAAATAAATTTATTTTTTAAAAAAGTCTTTTGCATCATTTGACAGGAGGTAGATACAGTACTTTACTAAAAATTCACTAGGTTAAAACAAATATTCAGAAGTGTTACTTGATTACTACATATTGAAATATCTGGTCAAGTTTGCTGAAAATGTCATTACTCAGGTTTATTTGGTTTAGAAATTTATTTAGGGTATTCATAATATATTATGTGACTACATAATATATATTTAAAGTATATGTAAAAAAATTGCTTAGGGGTTCAATTAGCCTTTATTTCCTCTTAAGCATATTTTTTATATATCACATATTTCAGTTTTATAATAGGATGGTATTACGTCTCAAGAGTATTGAATGGATTAATTTGTTGAAGCTGAGAATACATTTCAGAAAGTGAAGTTTTATATAATTGTAATTTTCCAAGGGCAACAACCTTATGTCTGTCTTCTGGATCTCAGCAGAACTTGCAACATTTCCATAGAGGAAAGACCGGCCAATCAGCCATAAAATATGTTGTTAAGAGTTCATAATCATTACTTTAGGTTGTAATGTTAACCTTCCAAAAAGAACTTCTCTTTTTATCCTATTTCAATTAATATAAAACAAAGATGTACCCTGCTATAATTATGAATTCTTGGTAACTTGGTTGCATTTTGAAGTAGTCTCTTAAGCTTTATTAAATTCAGCCACAAAATATTTGATTAACACCAAACCAGGTACTATAGGAATGTAACATAAAATACTGTGCTATACTTTTTTCTTTGTCCCAGAATTGTTTCTTAGATTTAGAGGAGGCAATGCAAAGATGACATACAGGCTTTGAGTCTTACATACCAGGGCTCCAAGTATGGCTCAGTCATGTACTTGGCCTTTGACCTTGGACCCTTGCTTTAGCCATTTGAACCTCAGTTTTCTCAGTAATATAATAATAACAAACTTCTACTGAGTGTTTACTGTTTTAAGTGCTGGTCATCTATTAATTCATTTCATCTTCACAAAAGCCTTATGAAGTAGGTACACTGTAATTCCTGTTTACAAATGAGGAAACTAGGGGAAATAAAGGTTAATAAGTAACTTGTGTAAGTCCTAAAGCAACTAAGTGTTAAAGCTGAGTATTTGAACCTTAGCAGTCAAATTCCGGAGCCCACAGTGTATTTCATACAGCCTTTTCAGTCATGACATGGGGTAGTTGATATTTTCTCATAAGATTGTTTTGAGGAGTAATTGAGATAACATAAGTATCTATTAATGGCACTAGTGAGTGGTAACTTATATTTATCACCTTCCATAAAACGTTATATTTAACTTTTCTGTAAATATTTTGTACTATCTCTTTTGTTCCCTTGGTTTTTGCTTTTTTTTTTTTTAGACCTGATCAGAAATTTAATGAACATATTAAGGATGATAAAGGTGAAGACTTTCAGAAACGATATATCCTCAAGAGAGATAACTCTAGCTTTGACAAAGATGATAACCAGGTAACCTAGCATGATTAGACCATTTTTATGGGTGCTGGACTTATACCAGCAGACCATTTTCCCAAGATTAATTGTTCTCTTTTCTTCAGATGAGAATACGTTTGAAAGATGACAGAAGAAGCAAATCTATAGAAGAAAGAGAAGAAGAGTACCAGAGGGCTAGAGACCGAATATTTTCCCAAGATGTATGTTCTAACTTATATTTAGCTCTTCATGTGTAAATATATGCTAATTGCATTATAGGGGTTCACTCCTCCCTCAATCTATTGATCACATATACTTCTAACTACATTTGTTACATATAAAGTCACCCCTTTAGAAATTCTGCAGTCTGCCTTGTTCATGTTAATGATTTAGTAGTTTATAAAATACTACTTTGTACCAGTCGTATAAACTTTTCAAAAGTTGAAAGCAGATCGACTAAGGAGTAGTATATTACACTGAGTATATAGTTTATGTACTATTTTTTTCTTCCAGACTTCTCACAGAGTTGAGATTTTTAGAACATTGGTCACTGTCTACAAAATCATGTACTCTAAATCCTACTTGTTAGTGGACTTTTCTTGATAAATAACTTGTTTCTTCTTTTAAAATACAGCTAATTGATTTTTCAGATTAATATTTGTTTTCCACTCTATAAGTGATTATATGGAAGAGATCTTTGTTGTTGTTGTTGTTGTTGTTGTTTGGCTGCTCTGTGCGGCGTGTGGGATCTTAGTTTCCTGACCCGGGATCCAACCCACACCGCCTGCTTTGGGAGCTTAGAGTCTTAACCATTGGACCACCAGGGAAGTCCTGGAAGAGATCTTTTAAGTGGCTGATTATTTTATGCATATATTCAAGGGAGAATCAGTTTGATTTTACCAACCAATATCTGTTAAGCACCTGCTCTGTGCAGTACGGGGTATTAGTCAATGATATAAGAATATATGTAGGGCTTCCCTGGTGGCGCAGTGGTTGAGAGTCCGCCTGCCGATGCAGGGGACACAGGTTTGTGCCCCGGTCCGGGAAGATCCCACATGCTGTGGAGCGGCTGGGCCCGTGAGTCATGGCCGCTGAGCCTGCGCGTCCAGAGCCTGTGCTTCGCAACGGGAGAGGCCACAACAGTGAGAGGCCTGTGTACCACAAAAAAAAAAAAAAGAGTATATGTAATTTGTGTTAATACCGCCAGAGATAGAAGTTAGCTCTGTATAAAAAAAAAAAAAAAAGTAAATGACATTAAAATCTAGACTGTCCATTAAAACTTTATAATATTCAACAAATCTTATTGGTCATGTATAGTAGGTTCTGTGCTGGGCACTGGAGAACATATCCATGGACATTTACATTAATTTATCTCCCAAGCAACCCTATATATGGTAGATACTATCACTGTTTTTATTTTATAGATAAGTAAACTGAGGCTCCGGGAAACTAAGGAAAATAGACAAGGATCATCCAGCTAGAAAATGACAGAGTTGGGATTTCAGCCCATGTCTTCTGAACTCGGAGCCTAACCTAGATCTATTTCCTCTCTCTAGTTTGTAAGATGGATGAGGTCTTTACCCATGATGAGTATTCAGATAATGACAATATGGTGTGTGATTTGTATAGAAACGTGAAGATAAAATAGGGAACACAGAGAAGCACCACAAACCAGAATTGAGGAGTGAGAGGGAGAGTTAGCTTCCAAGAGAAGAACTGAAGGAGTGAAGTTTTCCGTGTCCAGGGTCAACATCTGCAGGGAGCCAGAGATAAAGAAGAACTTGACACATGAGGAACTGAGAGATTCAGAGTACCTGGATTGTAGCCTAGGTGACAAGAATTGAGGGACGTTTCCATTGGAGAAATAAGCAGGAAGCAGGTGACTTGCTCCTGAAAGCTAGTTAAGGAGGTTGGGGCTTTTAGCTAGAGCAGGGGTCAGCAAACTTTTTCTATAATGGGACAGATAATGAGTATTTTAGGCTTTTCAAGCTATATAGTCTTTATTGCAACAACTCAAATCTGCCATTTTAATATGAAAGCATCCATAGACAATACACGAATGAATGGGCATGGCTGACTTCCGATGAATCTGTATTTACAAAAACAAGTAGCTGACTGTGTAGTGTGGGGACCCCTGTGCTAGAACGAAGCGGGCTATTAAGGAGGGAACAGGCGTGATCAGATTGATATTTTAGAGAGATAGCTATGGCTTCTGCTGTTTAAATTGGATGGAAAGAGCAAAACTGGTAGCTGGAAAACTAGAAGACTGTTGTAATAATACAAGATGCAAAACAGATGGTTGCCTGAGTTAGGTTAATAGCACTGGAGGATTTTGGCTGTAAGCTACATTGAGGCGTAGCTGCTTGTTCACTGCTACAGCTTCTGCCAAAGCACAGGTGATCAAAATATTTGTTGACTGAAGGAGGTGGAATCTACAGACAGGTGTATACTTCGAATATGTAATAGTGAAAATGGGTTCACTTGTTAGAGAGATATTTGAATTTCAAGTTACTTTGTACAGCAAAAATGAATGGCTTCAAGAATGTATATCTGTTAAAAATAAGCATAGTATCTCCAAGCCAAAATAATTTTTCATTGTCATTTATTTTTGTAACTTATCACCATGTTTGATTTGAGGGGTGAGGGCAACTACTTTTTTAAAATTATTACATGATTTTCGTTGTCATCATTAGTTTCCAGATGGCGTTATCTGACAAATGCTCAACTTTTTATATCTGTTCTTTCTTTCTAGTCCCTGTGTTCCCAAGAGAATTATATTATTGACAAAAGGTGAGGGGCTTTTTAACATTTGTTTTGCTAAGTGTCTCACTGATGCTAATAAAAATAAAAATGTTTAAAAAAAAATAAAAACGTTTTATGAAAATGCCAACAGAATCCAAGACGAGGATGCTAGTAGCACCCAGCAGAGGCGCCAGATATTTAGGTATCGGAAGCATGTTTTCGTGCAGTGCACAGTATTGAATATTTAAAGCATTTTTTTATAATTTTCCTTTTTGTCTCTATTAGCTTTTCAAAGTTTTATTTCTAAATTACAGAGTTAATAAAGATTCTTCAGGGAGATCAACAAATAGCCATCAAAGCAGCACTGAGAACGAGTTGAAGTACTCTGAACCACGACCCTGGAGCAGCACAGATTCAGACAGCTCTCTCCGAAACTTCAAGCCTGCTGTAACCAAAGCCAGCAGCTTCAGTGGAATTTCAGTTCTGACAAGAGGTGATAGTTCTGGAAGCAGCAAAAGCATAGGCAGGCTTTCAAAAACAGGTATAAATATCTGTCTAGAACTGTGCAGTCAAAACATTAGTTTCCCTAATGTTGTCTTAGCTCTTTATTCGTCATGTGGCTTCTGTAATTATCCCAAAATATAGGATTCCTACCAGCAGTACATTGAGCACCTCCAAAGTACTTAAGAGGTAACACGTTTACTGACATTAGGATTTATTCTCTGTGTGAGAGAGATTTACAGAAGGCATCTTTCCTTACCTAGGATTAGTTAACATTGATCGCATTTTCAGCTAATACTATCATTAGCTGAAATTCAGCTAATACTGTCATATTATTGAGTGCATTTCATGATAAAGTTCATTTGCCATTCCAAAAAAACATAAAATTGCTGAGAAGTTTGTGAGGAATTTAAAAACTAAAGAAATATAATACAATGTGATTATTATGGATAAGTAGAAATTTCAGTAACATTCTCATTCTACTAGCTTCTTTGCTTTTAGATTACATAACTTTTAGGCTCCTAAGCATTTTTCTCTTTTCACTTTCACTGGCTTCAGTACTAAAGTTCATGTCTCTTAGGATCCTCACGGATCTTTATTTGTATCCCAAAATAAGCATGAAAATCAGCAGAAATGGCTCTTTATCCTTTCAGATAAAGCCTAGATATATGGTTTTACACAGATAACAATTGAAGGGAGAGGTGTAAATTTGAAGGTGACGGAGTAAATTTTTCTCATCTCTGACTGTAATTCAGTACTTTAAATTCTTAAGGTTTGTGAATTGCACTTGTCATCTTTTTAACTTATAATGTGGATATTTAAAATGTCTTAGTGTATATGGTAGACTCTTGCTAAAGATAGGTAAATTTTATGAATATAAGAAATATGCATATGTACCAAATATGCATTTATTTGATAAACGGTCAGTCATCATGTCATCATAACAGGAAAAAAAACTACTCATGTGTTGTGAGAAAGTCATTTAGACACACAGCCAAAGTAAAACATTTTTTTAAATTTATTTATTTATATTTTTTTGCCACATCGAGTCTTAATTATGGCACGTGGGATCTTTTGTTGCGGTGCGCAGGCTCCAGAGTGCGCAGGCTCAGTAGTTGCAGCGCACGGGCCCAGTTGCCCAGCAGCATGTGGGATCTTAGTTCCCTGACCAGGGATCAAACCAGTGACCCTGCATTGCAAGATATATTCTCAACCACTAGACCACCAGGGAAGTCCCTAAAATATTTTTAGAACATGTACTATTTATAACCTATATTATCTTCAGAGATGAAAATAAATATTTAATTCTTTTATTAGGAAAAAAGTTTTTTTCACATAGTTCTTGGAGATAGTCATTTTTGGCACAACTTAAAATAGAAGTTATCCTTCAGTGGCAATCTCTGTAAGTGTATCATATTTGTTTATGTCATTCATTAAAAATTAATTCTCCATCCCAGAGTCAATTCTGTTATTCAAAACCTAATTAACTATTTACATCATCAAAATCTTTTCCTTTCTTTCATCGTCTCATTGTCTACCTTAATCCATTATACTGAAAGTCAGTGATTTCTTCAGTCTCTGTATAATAGAAAATTAAGTAGATTGGAGGCGGGAAAGCAGTTAAAAATAAATTATCAAATTAGCTTATTAAGTACAGTGAGAAATAAATTTTAAGCTGATGCTAATATAAGTACTTGGAATGTTTTTATTCTACCTCTGTCCCTTGCTATGATAAAAAAATTGAAAGTTGACTTTACGTTACAGGAAGATGCTATGATTACGAGCTGAAAATGAAAGTCTGCAGTGAAACCTGACAGTTGTTTCTCTTGATAGAGAATTATCATTTTTGTTATTTCCTACACTACTCTTAATCTTTCTGTGTTCTTATAGATAAGGGGTTTCTGATATAAGAGGTTTTGGGCATTTGGCTGTGCTAAGTTCTTTGTCCTGGGGGAAAAATTATAATCTGTATATTCCTAGGTGTTAATCTAAAAGGTAAAAATATACATAGCTTTGTCCTTTTGGGAATGTGGGTAATGCGTTTTTTGTGGCTGTCTGTGGCTGATGTTATTGGGTTGGCCAAATAGTGCCTTCGGTTTTTAAGTAAAAAAAGACACATTTTTCATTTTCACCAAGAACTCTATTGAACAACATATTCACCGTTCCATTGCCTCTTGCCATTTTTCAGGCAACTTCATAATTCCATCTTCCCAAAACTTTTTATCTTTTTGAGCAAAGAACTGTTCCAGGTGCCTTTTACAGTCTTCCAGAGAATTGAAATTTTTTTCCATTAGTAGAATTTTGTAAAGACTGAAATAAATGGAAATCCAAAGGTGCAATGTCTGGTGAATACGGCGGATGAATCAGAACTTCCCAGCCAAGCTGTAACAGTTTTTGCCTGGTCATCAAAGAAACATGCCATCTTGCGTTACCTTGGTGGAAGATTATGTGTTTTCTGTTGACTAATTCCGGACGCTTTTCGTCGAGTGCTGCTTTCAGTTGGTCTAACTGGGAGCAGTACTGCTTGGAGTGAATCGTTTGGTTTTCTAGAGGACCCCCTTCCAATCCCACCATTTACACAACATCACCTTCTTTGGATGAAGAGCGGCCTTTGGTGTGGTTGGTGGTTCATTCCGCTTGCCGCATGGTCTCTTCCATTCCACGTTATCTTACAGTATCCACTTTTCGTCGCCCGTCACAATGTGTTTTAAAAACGGAACGATTTTGGAGCTTCCTTGGTGGTGCAGTGGTTGAGAGTCCGCCTGCTGATGCAGGGGACACGGCTTCGTGCCCTGGTCCGGGAAGATCCCACATGCCACAGAGCGGCTGGGCCCGTGAGCCATGGCCGCTGAGCCTGCGCGTCCGGAGCCTGTGCTCCGCAACGAGAGAGGCCACAGCAGTGAGAGGCTCCCGTACTGCAAAAAAAGAAGAAAAAACGGAACGATTTCATTACGTTTCAGTAGAGAATTTCATGTAGAAATACAGTCGAGAAGGTTTTTTTCACTTTTCAGTAGAGAATTTCATGTAGAAATACAGTCGAGAAGGTTTTTTTCGCTTAACTTACGTGGAACCCAAACATCAAAGCGATTCACATAACCAAGCTGGTGCAAATGATTTTCAGTGCTTGATTTGGATATTTTGAGTATGTCACCTATCTCCCGTGTAGTATAACGTTGATTGTTCTCAATTAACGTCTCAGTTTGATCGCTGTGAACTTCAGCTTGTCTACTTGGCTATGGAGCATCGTCCAGCAGGAAATATCTAGCACGAAACTTCGCAAACCACTTTTGACATGTTCGATCAGTCACAGCACCTTCTCCATTACACGGCACAAATCTCTTTTTGCGTTTCAGTTGCGTTTTTACCTTTCTTGAAATAATAAAGCATAATATGCCGAAAATGTTGCTATTTTCTTCCATCTTCAATATCAAAATGGCTATACAAAAATTCACCAATTTTGGTAAGTTTTCTTTTAACTGCAGCTGTCACATACAGTCTAACAAACTTGTTTCAAATGAAGTTAAAGACAACTAAGTGCTACTAGAGCCGTCTTACGGAAAAAAACCGAACGAATCTTTTGGCCAGCCCAGTATTATAGACTTGCTTTAGTTGCATGCTTTGGCTATGACTTCTCTGGCAACTTTTGTGATCAGTTTTGCTGTATTAAACGTGTTCTTGGTGGGGAGGGGAAGCAAAATGGTACAGTAAGTCAAAAATAGTTCATGCTTTTATGTGGTAACTGCATGTTATGCAATGTGAATTTTATTGTTACATATTTAAAACCTGCGTTTTTATATGAGGTTTAAAAAATTCCCTCTTTTTCATTACTCCTCCCCTAGGTTCTGAGTCTTCTGGTAGTGTAGGGTCATCTACGGGCTCTCTCTCTCACATCCAGCAGCCTCTTCCAGGTACAGCTCTCAGCCAGTCTTCTCATGGCGCACCTGTCGTCTATCCAACTGTCAGCACTCATAGTTCTCTTTCCTTTGACGGTGGCCTAAATGGGCAAGTCGCATCTCCTAGCACTAGCTTCTTTTTGCTTCCCTTGGAAGCGACAGGCATACCACCTGGCAGTATTCTGATCAACCCACAAACAGGTTGGTATCCAGAAAAAGGTTTATTTCAGTTGAGATATCAGGAGTTATTTGAAAACTAAAGAATACGTATTAACTGTATTATCTGTATATGCATTGTCAGCTTTTGATTTTTCATGTGTGATTAGCATTTTCCCTAGAACTTTAATAAAAACACTTTATGCTAGAGAATGTTAAAAGAAATTTATATCAGAAAGTATTTTTCTCCTTGTGACATCCATGACATCATCTTTTAGGCCAAATAATTAGGAAACAATTCATTTCCTAGAAATGGGACAACCGCCTTTGAAAGAACTTTATTTGATAGAACAGTTTTATCGTGGGAAAAATAGTATGCATTTCATGAAGAAGGAGAACGTTAGCAGCTCTTACTTCTTACGTAATGCAGTGGAAAGAACCCATAAGTAATTGCTCTTCTGAATACGGTAACTGTTTTCTACTTAGGAAAAGCTAAAGAACATCTTATTAGTAGTGAAAGAAAATAGATAGTCTTTATGAATTAATATTGACAACACATTTTTTGCAATTAGATAGTACTTTGTATTTATTGAGTGTTTATCATGTGTCATGTACTGTGTTATGTGCTTTAAATACATTATTTATAGCAACCCTGTTAGGTAGGTGAAATCTACATTTACAGGTAAGGAAACCGAACTTCAGAGAGATTAAGAAACTGCAGTCATAATACATTTCATTATGTATGTTGGCAAAAATGACTTATATTGAGAAAATAAAATTTTTTTAAAAAATGACAAGAAGTTTTGGTTTCTAATCAAAATAACATAGCCCAATCATATGGTAAGATAATGAAAATAACCTTAAATCATTCAATAACCTTCCTTAAAGATTCACAGATTTAGCTGATGTGGTCACATCAGCATGGTAGTAGTTGGGCAAGGTAGGTACAGGCGAGAGTGTCAGAGTCTCTGAGTGTTCTGAAACTTGCCTTTTGTTTGTTGTAGAAAAAACCATGGCTGGGAACTTGTTACCTTCAGATTTCATTTGCATCTCTTTTTTAATATAAAGTATTCAAACTTTTGTTTCTGTTGTAAAAATAGAATTAGCGTAAATAACTGACTCTTCAGAAACTCAGTTTTTGCTTTATAACCGTTATCTTCTGATCCTTCAAGTCTATCATATTACTAAACTTCCTGTTTTCCTGGGGCAGAATATAAGATGATTTAATATTTTACTATTTTCTATTATTTTTAATTCAGAATATTAGTTAACATGGTTTTGGTAACGTGGAAGCTTCATTTGAGTAGGAAATGATGAGAAACTAAGGAACCTGAAATTAAATTGTATACTTAATTTTAAATTAGCCCAAAAGTGATCTCTTTGTTTTTGAGAACAGCATTACAACACATCCAGTTTTTTTCACACAATCCTTAAGCTACTTTTAAACATGCTTTCACTCAAGTCTTCTCTGCCATTTTTTTTTTCAAAATTATTTATAACAATCAACAAATATCCAGCATGGCTTGCTTTTAGTTATCTATAACCATCAGGAAATTAACTGATGAAAATAATTTGACTTTGGAGAACTTTTCCCACTTGATAGCAATGGAACAGTGTATTCTGCTTTCCCAAATATTATTTTATTATATGTCACAAGTTTATTTTAAAAAAAGAGAGGATGTTTTGAAGGCAGTTTAAGACACATAGATATTCTTCCCATCCTAAAAGGGTATGTAATCAATGATCTCTTTATTTCACATAGTCCTTTCATTTTTCTTTCTTTCTTTTTTAAGAATCCAGTGTGTTTTTTTAAATCATTCAGTGTATAGTAAGGAAAAATACTACTCTTTGAATCTGTTTATGTGTACATTGAAAAAGTCTGGAAGGAAGGTATCCAAATTGTTGATGATAAGATTATGGGGAATTTATTTACTTTCTGATCTGTATTTGTTAGTTATTTTCTGTATTTGTTAGTTATTTCTAAGAATATTACTTTGCATAATAAGAAAAACTTGTTTAGAATGTATGTGTAGAGAGTTACTTAAAATATTCCTCCCGTAATTGGTAACCAATAAGAATAAGCCTCAAAATCAGTACTAAAGTTCTCTCTCGTTTTATTTCTTACCTATGAGTAAAGCTCATTGGAAGTGAAAGGAAATCTTTTTAGAAAATTATTTAGAATTTTTAAATTATTTTCTACTTTTAACAAGTTAGAAGTTATAAAATAAGGACACTGCCATCAACTCCACAATTTGAAATTTGAAGTTATCAACCATTTTAATTTTCATCAGCTTTTAATCTTACTAATTAAATATATGCAGTGTGACCTGTAAATTAGATATTTCTTACCATCCAGCAGGCTAATTAATAAATTTCCAATATCCCAAAGTCAAGTGTGTTTTTTTTCCCTTGAAACTGAAATGTTACACAATCCTGTAACTCAATCCCTTGAGCAAGATGTGTTTCAGAATTGAGTTTCTTGGAAAATACTGTGTAGTATAAAACAACTCAAGTGGGTTCTGGCGCGGCACCCCCATAGTAAAACACCGCAGCAAAAATTTTGAATATTTACTCTAAGTGGGAAATATAAAGACTATTAATAGGCTCGTGTAAGGTCAGGCTTTGCTTTCCAAGGTAAGAAAAGCTTTTGGTTTCCAGAACCTTGACGCTTTTGGAATTGTGAATCAGGACTGCAGACATGTGCTGTAAGTTGTCTGTAGAGCGACCTATATTCGGTCTCCATCGTAAATGATCTTTTGTTCTTCCTTTTTAAAATTTTCAGGTCAGCCCTTCCTAAACCCAGATGGGAGTCCAGTTGTGTGTAGTCCTCCTGTGACTCAACAGCCAGTTAGAGCCCAAGTGCCTGGACCTCCACAGCCACCTCTGCCAGCACTGCCACCACAGCAGCAAGCAGCCCATCACATCTTCTCACAGGTGCACACGTCCACGATTACACAATGCTAAGTTCACCTGCCTTTGCATATTTGGGACTAAAGTCACTAATTATAATCAAGAGAGCCCAAGTAAGTGTCTCTTAGAACTTCAGTATTCTCCACCAGTGATGTCCTACTCACCGCTCGTAGGAAGAGAGGTTAACTTCAAGGGCTTTTCTGCTAATGAAAACAGAATATATATTGGAAGGAAGGGAAATTTTTATCTCATGACCCTGTATGGTGAGTATTTTATACCTTGCATTTCACAACAGCAGGCAAGGGACCAGAGGAATAAAAAGCAAAACTAAGATAGTTCATTACCCCAGTGAGCAAAGTGAGTTGTTCTAAGATTCAACAGATCAGGCACTTAGAAGAAACTGAGTTGACTCGCCTCGCTACAAGGTACTCTCCACCCCACCTGCTCTATGAAAGATAAAGAGAGAAACATTGATTTAGAATTCTCAGAAGAACTCTTAATAATATCTTGAATTTGTATAAATGTTTAGAGTTTACACATGCATGTTCACATTCAAGCTTTTCCCCTGTAGATGTGTTACTCATTCTTGCTGAACTTGATTATACTAGTGTAAATTCTTACTTTCGTTCTATCTTTTAAAGGTTGTGTAGCATATCAAAGGCAGTTTGTACAGTTATTTGCACCCCTTTTTCCCTGGAAGACGATCTAAATATTCCACTGGTGAGAACATGCAGAGTAATGTTTTGTGAAAGAAGTACAGTGGTAAACTTGAACTGGAGAAATTTCATAAGTTTTAAACTAATGAAAATAATTATTGCTCTGGCAATTAAGACTTGTAATACTGGGCAAGGCAGTTTCTCTGCAGTAGGACTTCAAGGTGTTTGATGCACTTCCAAGAGCATACAAATGAATTCATATATGTAGAGGAAACTGTCTAAAACTACTTGCAAAGACTCCCATACCTACTTCCCAACCCCGTTTGATTACATACTCTCAGGTACATGTTATGTTAAACTACATAAAACTCCCTCCCTGGCCTTCTCTGCCTTGGTTTCATTCAACTTGGTCTTGAAGTGTTTCCCTTTCATTTGCTAATGTGTGGTCATCTTTGCAGTGCTGCAAATTTCACCAGGAGCTTTATAGGGCTGATTTTCATTTGATTTAATTCAATGGAAATAATGTTAGTCTGGCACTTTCAAAAAATCCTAAGGGTTTATCTGTGGTTATATGTTTCAGATTATTATCGCTTAGAAATAGCTTTGCCTGATTTAGTTTTAAAAGACAGTCCTAAGTGAAGATATAGGCAGCTTAGTTTAGAAATGCTGTCTTAGGGCTTCCCTGGTGGCGCAGTGGTTGAGAGTCCGCCTGCCGATGCAGGGGACACGGGTTCGTGCCCTGGTCCAGGAAGATCCCACATGCCACAGAGAGGCTGGGCCCGTGAGCCATGGCCGCTGAGCCTGCGCATCCGGAGCCTGTGCTCCGCGACGGGAGAGGCCACAGCAGTGAGAGGCCCGCATACCGCAAAAAAAAAAAAAGAAAAAAAGAAATGCTGTCTTAATAGACTATAACTTGAAATATTGGGGTATGCCTCAAACTCCATGGCTGTTTTTCCTGGCATTGCTTCAGGTGTTTCTGGTAATTCTTCGTCAAATACAAGAATAGAGAATTGATGAACAAACAATACTCAGTAACAATCTCTTGCACACTGAGATAATCCATCCATGAAATTTCAAATAACCAAACACAGTAATGCTGTGATTTCCAAAGCCTTCAAATGGGCTGCGTTCTTGAAACCAGTCACTTTAAGTGGATGTTATTTTACAGCCAGTTGCAATTTAAGTAGGAAAAAGGAAGTGCTAATGCTTTTTCTTTTCTACGTAGTCTCAGAATTTCACTTTGATCAGCCAGTCTTCTAGCCCACATTTTTCTCGTTACCACTTGACACTCTGGCAGACATTAAGTCCTACCCTTAGTGCTCACAGTATTCTTCTTTCTTTTACTCCCCAGCAGACTAAGGCTTTTGTTTCATCTGACACTGACCTAGTAGGTCACGTTTTCTGGAAGAAAGTTGTGTCTTAATGGTTGTCTGACTTAATAACACATTATATAGCTTGTACTTGGTAGTTTTAAAGCCACAACACCTCATTTAGTGTGATATGTGCTGTTATCCATTAGGAAGCTTGCTAATTTCTAGTCAAGAGGTTAGTGAGGAACCAGTGGCTACTCTGTAGATTTTCAGCTTATACTTTTTTTAGTATGTTAGCTCTAGAATTTTTTGTGGAATTCTAAACTAATCTAAGCCTTTCATTTTTTCCAGAAACTGTTGTGTTGATTTTGTGGTGGAAGGGCAAACTCATCATTATACGTCTTAGTCCTAAGAATTTCTCCTTATCTAGATTATTCCCTGAGTAATCTTACTTAGTTTATTTTGCATGAGTTTTCATTAGATAAAATGACTTGGGTTCCTCCAGTGCTTGTTTAAATGGTTGTATACAGGCCACTTAATTTCCCTTAACCTGATTGCCACCTGAATGGTAGATTATGATAGTCATTAAACCAATATATATATTGTCCTTTGTAATAAACTATATAAGTGTAAGACGAGGAAACTAAATGCCATTATTAGCCTATAGATGGCCAGCTGTATTCCCTAAAATTTAGAAAGGATTGAAACCTCTTTCATGTTTCAGAACACCTGTGTTTTGAGTGCCCTTGGGAAACATAAAACTTAAAATTTTTTTTCTCTGAAATGCAGGAGTATTTCATTAGTAAAAAGAATTTCAAATAATTACAGTGGATCGTCAAACCACATGGGTTTGAACTGCGAGGGTCCACTTATACATAGATTTTTTTCACTAAATACGTAACTACAGTATACATGATCTGTGATTGGTTGAATCCGTGGAGCAGAATCTGCAGGTACAGGACCAACCATAAGTTATACACAGATTTTTGACCGTGCAGAGGGTCAGTGCCCCTAATCCCTGAGTTGTTCAAAGACCAAGTGTAGTTTCTCAGCTCCTAATATTCTCTCAATAAAAATTTTTAGTTAGAAGAAAACTGTGTTTATCTTCCTTATGTAAAAGAGATCTGTTTGTGTGTGTGTGCACGCGCTTATATGTATGTGTGTGTTTTCTTTAGGCTATTAATGGTACTCACAGTACATTTTTGTTTAAAAATTGCTAAAATCTAGGCAGTTTGGTCCCAAAAGAGTTATCTAATCATGACTTATCAAATAGAGAGGATACTTGGCCATAGGTATTATGTAAGATATACTGTCTGATAATAAGAGTGAGTGAAGTTTTTCTTTTATTACTTAGTGTTACATAGCTAAGTAGAACAGCCCCGTCATCAAACCAGGAAGTAAGGATAAATGGTTTTGCTTTTACTGACTTAACCCAGGGGTCTTGTTAGATAATAGGATTTGAAATGTCTAAATTACCTGTTGCAGTGAATCTAATAAATACTTTTATGAAAAAAATTATCTTTCTAATTATGTTTTAAATTTAAATGTATGTTCTCAAAATTTTTCTATGTAGAGTTTCTTCGCTTAGTATTGTTTTTGTTGTTTCCTATAATGTTGTATTTTAGCTGACTTTGTAGTTTTAAGTTATTGCCAAAAAAAGTGTAACTTTCCATTTTATGCAATTCTTCTAACATTTTATTCCGACATTAACATTGTTTGCCAACCTGTTATTCCTTAGCCTATTCGTCCTCTGCAGCCCTCTTCACAGCCTGTTCAGTACTCTACAGCCCCTTACCCATCCCCGTTCCTGCCAGTCTCACCCACCCAGCAATACTCCGTGGTACTATATCTCTATTCACCTCCTGCGTTGTTTCTGTGGGTGGATGTGTGATGAATCCTTGTGAATGTGATTAATGTGATATGTTCTTTTGTGATTTTTCTAAAGTCAGGGTTACATACATTTTGAAAAAGCATTTCTAACCTGTATTAGAAATAATTTATTCTCTTCCATAAAATATTTGTTATATTGGCTTATCACCGTGATTGTATAAAGCCTAATCTTTTCCTCCCTTTTCAAGTCCTAAGATGTTTTAGCTAATTTTCTCATTGAGGCCAGTGCAGGTCTGTGCAGTCCTGGGGTGGCAGCTTTCATCTGGGTTTAGGCTTTCTGTTCTTTCCCCAGTGCCCCAGGTCCAGTAGACTTAGTGTCAGTCATTGGGGTGAATTGGAGCTTCCAATTACGTAAGACATCCTCCTTAGTATATTTCCAAAGAAGATCTCTAGACATTTAATCTGTGACTAAAAGTAATGGTATTTCATTTAATCCAAAGTATGCCCCAAGTTATACGTCTCAGTAAGAACTCAGATACACCGTTGCCATGTGTTCTCTGTGTGACCTTCTCTAGTTACTGAGCATATGAGGCCACCGTATAAAGTACCTCCTGCATAGTGCCTAACATGAAATAGATATTCAATCAGTGTTAATTTCCTTCCCTTTAAATGAATCTGCCTATCCACCGATATACTTTTCCCAGTGATGCTCTTATTTTTCAGACTATGGCCATCACATTTTGAAATCACATCCAGGTTAAATTATAAGCTATATCTTAAAATCACTTGCCACTTTTTAGAAATGTTTTGTTTTGTTGGGGGTGTTTTTGTTTTGAGCTTAAGGCAACCTTATTTACCAGCTTTGGCTCTGAATGATTTTCAAAAATCACTTTCAGTCTGAAAAAATGAAATTTTGCCAGCATTGAGAAGGTTGACAACATTTTTAGAAATACCATAAAAGCCTCAAAAATGTTTTGGAAAAATGGCAGATCATTGGATTAAGAAAATGCCTTTTTTTTTACCAAGATGACTCTGATGGTGGTATATAGTTATGGTATCTCTTTTTAAAATATTTGGCCATATTACGTTGTAATTACAGCTAGTAGGTGTTTGTAAGTATATTTTCCTCTTCTGAAACTATTCATTGAATTCTATGAATAGTGCTAGACTCTGTCAGAACAGCCATTTGGGAAGAGTAAAGCCATATATTTTCAGTCACTAAATCAGGTTCCCTTTTTTTCAGTCCCTTTATCATCTCCATAGCCTTAATTTACTTTGCAAAAACCAGCAGATTATAGAAATTGCAGACATGTCAACAACTTTGACCTAGCAACTCAATTACCACAATATTTTAAGTAACTTTTTTTCAAATTTTCCCTCTTAACAAAATATGGTACATATTGTCGCCAATCTGTGGCTCCTTGGGAGCAAGGGAATACCTTTTTAACCCCATTATCGTCATATCAGTGATATTATGTAGACTAGTCAGAATTGATCCTTATGCTGTTGAGTCAGAGAAACATTTGTCAGATGGCATATAAATCGTAACCCTTTCTTGGCTGGGCACCATTGCCAGCTCTCTTAAGTAGCAAAAGCAGTAGGAAACTGTCATTTGGATTATATTTGTCTAACATCTGACTTAAGGATAAACACTATGGAAGAGTTTATGACCAAATTATTGTTGAGAGATTAGAGTGTACATCAGGGAGGGTAGATTTTATATATTTTATTTCATTTCTGCTAGTATATTTGATTGTTGGGTATGGGAGGAGATACAGAAGTGCATAGAACCTGAATCTTGCCTTCTGGGAAGAAGGGCACTGCTTTAAAGTAAAGAGTAATTAGTACCATGCGCTGCTAGACTCCTGGTCTTCGAAGTCCTTTCAGAAAATGTTAATTGTATAATATAAAAGTGTGCCTTTAGTCTTCATTTAGATAGTGTCTTTTCATTTTTTTATTGTGTAATGTTACACCCTACTCTTTTCTGCATGCTATACATTTCCGTTAGATATATTTTGTGAGTAATTTGCAATGTAATAGTCCTACCTTGCTGCCTTAGAGTTCTAATTTTCTTGAAGCTGTTCTTCTATTAAGTCATGTCTGTTGTAGATACATGATTTCCGTAATACATACTACTGCAACTCTTCTTAAAATATATGAAGTATTTTCCTTTGATAAGTTTGGTCTATGTATGGAAAGCTTACTGATTTCTGACTTCTCCCTTTGTTAGCAGGACAACCTTGGGTCTCAGTTTAGCCACATGAGTCTTGCCCGCCAGCCATCTGCAGATGGTTCTGATCCTCACGCCACCATGTTCCAGTCCACTGTTGTTCTTCAGTCCCCACAGCAGTCTGGTTATATCATGACAGCAGCCCCTCCACCACCGCCGCCACCGCCTCCTCCTCCGCTACCACCTGGGCAGCCAGTCCCTACTGCTGGCTATTCTGCCTCTGGTCATCCTGTCAGCCAGCCTGTGCTCCAGCAGCAAGGATATATTCAACAGCCCTCTCCACAGGTACATTGCTTTTTCATCTTTTCTCTCCTGTGGAAGCCTCTCATTTAAGATCACTTTTAACTTTAGGGAGCTTTTTTTTTTATTTTTATTTTTTTAATTAATTTATTTATTTTTGTCTGTGTTGGGTCTTCGTTTCTGCACGAGGGCTTTCTCTAGTTGCGGCGAGCGGGGGCCACTCTTCATCGCGTTGCGCGGGCCTCTCACTGTCGCGGCCTCTCTTGCTGCGGAGCACAGGCTCCAGACGCGCAGGC